TATTTCCTCGTATTCTTTTAAAAAGCAGCGGTAAACGGCCAGTGAAGTCAAGTGCAACACTAGCTAACATGGAAACAGCACAGCGAGGGAAACGCTGTTCGCCGCATTTAGTCAACCAAACACGCCTCATTTTGTACAAACAGATGCGACGGTTAATGCCAGACAGTATGAAAGGCGGGATGAAGCCGTTTAACAGCGTAGAGAAACACCGGAGCATCTTTTGGACTGATCTACAGGAGAGCAATAGTAGGATTAACAAACGCCGTTCTTCCCCTCCGAGTGAGCCGCCGATGCCGTTTGTAATCAGATCACCGCCTACCGCAACTGGCGGCCGGCGGGGAAACCCCAAAGCTCACCTTGTCTGGTTGTTGAGCCGCAGAAAGTTTGAAGTTCGGTTTACTTGTTTATTTCCATTGTGAAAAGTACTTCCTCTTCGTCTGGCTCCGCTTCTGTTCGACTCTTTGCCGGACTCAACGAGCCGTCAGTGTAGCCAATCAGCGTCAAGAGGTCCAGTGAAGTTGTCCAATAGGAAAGCCCATCCCGCAAAAGCGTTGTCCAATCAAAATGTAAAAATATTTCTCACAAGCCAATCACATAATGCAATATAGTAATTCTGCATATTTTTACTAAACTCATTCAAGAACAGAAAAGTATTTTGCATAAAGGTTACTCAAGAACTAAGTAGCTGATCAAACTATTTAATTATTATATATTTTTACAGCCAAAAATATAAATTAATATTCAAACGTTGGTGCTTTAAAGACTAAAATAATGAATATAATTCAATAACATAATGTCAGAAAGCAAACTGAGGCAGAGGAAACACTTTTTCAAATAATTTTAATATAGATATCAGAGAAAAGCGCAGTGCAGTAAAAATGTAGTATTTCTTTTTTTACGAAACGTTAGTGAAGTAATTATAACTAATATAATGAGTTACTACACTGACTTTAATGTGACATTATAAATATTTAATAACAGAATTTAGCATCTATAACCACAGCGTAACAGTTTTAGTAGAAAAACTCTTTGGCAGACTGTGAAACATGGTGGTAGCAGTATCATGCTGAGGGGGTGTGTTTCTTTAGTAGGAGCAGAGCTGAACTGAGCAGTTTATTTAAATCAAACCATATTTTTAGTATTTAATTGCTGCAAAAAAATTGACAAAGTATTAATTAAGAAAGGTTTAGTAACACAGATTTCAGATTTTAATTTGTATAAAATTGTGAAAATTGTGCATCATTTCCTCTCTCCTCACAGTTAATATTTTCTTTTGGTTGGACACATAAAATCTGTGTTTGCAACCAAAATGTGAAAAACATCAAAAGGCTAGTTGGCAATTTGAAGACCTCAGTAAATGAGAGGAAATATAGTTTGTCAATAATATATTCTATGAATAATGACATCAAAATAAACAGTATACAAACCTTCGTTTGCTCGCCTGCTACCGTAGAAGAAGTTTTATATTCGCAAGCAGAGAAAAAAATAGTGGTAGACATGTTGTAATGTTATTTCCAACCACCAGATGGCACCAAAGTAACGCTAAGAGCCAAAGGTGAAGCAGGTTCAGAATGAGAGATTACCAACTAACTGGCTTATTTTTGTGAGAAACCACTCCTTACAGTGTTTGTAACAGTTGGCAATAAATGGATGTGGAAGACTTTTGTCCAACTTGTCTTGAAAGAATCGTTTTAATGGACCTTTTTCACGGCAACTGGACGGCAAATCTAAACTGGACTTATTTTACTTCAACGCCTTCATTGATGTGTTCATGTCAATGCAATAAGAATTATAAAATGTGTAACTAACCCTTTTGTTTCTTTGTATTTCAAATATCCAATCTCAAGTTGTGTGAATCACTGTAAATATTTGTTACTCATGAAACATACAGAGATGTGCAAATGTCTTTAAAAGGCAGTTGGATAATTTACAAAAATTTATTTTTTAACTGCAGTTCTCTTCAAACTTATGTTTTAAAATTTTTCTCCTTGATGTTGTCTTAAGTATTTATTTAAATCAATGTATGGTGTACAATCATAAAATATGAAATAGTTATGGATTTCTTTTGTTTTTACTAGATATTGTAAATTGTACTTGATTTGTTTTCCTTGCAATTCAACTTAATACAAAAAGAAAGTCAAGTGTGCTGCTAAAGTGTGTTTTAATTGAATATTTTTTGCAAAAGTCTAAACATTTAACTTTTTACATAGCATTACAACAATACAGAAATAATTTAGTCTGCAACACAAAATGGGCCTTGATAATTTGCCAAAATACAACAGTTGTGCCAGATTTGATTGACAGTTCCTATTGAAGTGAGAGGCACCGGGGAATCCCAGATGTGGTAGCACTTTACTCTGGCGTTTGCTCGCTCCACAATAATCCGCAGCCGAGCAATGGTCTGGGTCTCCTCCGTCTCTTCCTTGCTGAACTGACCAGGATGCCTAAATGGTGGAATGATGAGTTTGGCTCCAACTTCATGAAGGAGGTCTTGAATGAGGAAGTCTTTATCTGCCATGACTTCATCTCCCAGCTCAAGTAGAGGAAGGATTCCACTGACCTTCGTTATTTCTTTGTCGGAGACGCAGCCTGTGTACAACGCTGAAAAATGTCACCAACCCACAGGGAGCAACTCCAATCAGCCCTTTGAGAGTGGTGTGGTTCTTGTAGGCAGAGAACGTTTCAGACTGTAAGGTGGGGTGATGGCGTTTCCAGAGCAACTTCTGTGCAGTCCAAGATGACATGGACATTTGGAGAGAACTTCAGAAATTTCTGAGGCATATTGGCTTTTACCTTCTCACAACTAATCCACAGGTTGATGGAAGAGAACACAATGAAGAGGTAGTTGGCCCAGGTGAGTCACTCAGCTGACAGTAGCTATGTTGACTTGAAACATGTCAGCAATGAGCTGCTCCTTCATGCCCACTGCTACCCTGAATGAGTACATCAGGAACTCATCAATCAGAGGCAAATTTTTTACAGAAATTAAGTTTCTAGATGCATTTCTTTTTTTCTAAATTTTGAAAATGGTAAAATTTGCACACAAAAAAACTATAGTTTCTAAAAGAAAGTGGTCTGTTACATAATGTACCAAGTTGTTTTTTTGTTTTTGTTTGTTTTTTTCAGCACATGCTTCCTCTCCAAATTTCTGTGCTCTGGTCCAGTACACCAGGCGTGATGCACAGGGTGCATTGGACTCCCACAAGATCCGGAACACACATTCAGATGGAAATTTGGTGTAGATTCGGATCTGGTCATCAGAGGCACAGTAAAAAGTGTGGCAGACAAATCCACTTTTTGAAGTCTGGCCTCCAACTCCTTCATATAATCCAGAGCTTCATCAAAGTGCACCTGTAAAACCACAAAATAAATTATAAAAACATACGGTTAGCAATAAGTTTTAATTATATATTTTAAACTTTACTTCTGTGAAGATCAATACATGTTGTGAGTCGGAGCATGTATGTATACAGCCATTGACTTAATCTCTCCACAAAATACATAACCACATAATTTCATTATTATGTGATCATAATATTATTATGAAATTATCTTACATGGAAAATATATACAATATACTATCTTTTACCTGCGGGTGGGTGTGCCGTGTAGTCATGGTCCGCAGTAGCATCTTCAGCCTGGCTAGCTTTCTGAGAGGACAAACGTTTCTTAGCCCTCTCGAAAGCAGACTCTCTCATTGCCGGTGCAGTGAAGTTATTCCAGGCAAACAGGAAGGAACAGATCCACTTTTAAGGCGGCTGGTGGTGGACCTAATAAAATCCTCCGGTGTGAAGTGGCGGCTACATACGAAAGTGCTCCCCGTCTTTATGCAAAAGTCCGGACCTTCATCTCTTCAGATCGCCTGGATCCACTACCTCCGTTGGTCCGGATCCGTCGGGATCATGATATGACAGATAAGGCTGTTTTCTTGCCCCACATGAACAACCAGGGACTCAACAAAAGCAACTGCGCCGAGACTGAGCCATTTTCCTAGCCTTTTAAAGCTAACGCTATAGCCAGCGGAAGTTGTCCAACCCACATCCGCTTTATATAACGCATGCGTACAACAGCCCCGGCACCACGCATGCGCACAACCGCCCCGGCACCACGCATGCACACCGCCCCGGCCCACGCATGCGCACAACCGCACCGTCCCCTGCGGTTGGATGTGCTGTGTAGTCATGGTCCGCAGTAGCATCTTCAGCCTGGCTAGCTTTCTGAGAGGACAAACTGCAGTTTCTTAGCCCTCTCGAAAGCAGACTCTCTCATTACCGGTGCAGTGAAGTTATTCCAGGCAAACAGGGAAGGAACAGCTCCACTTTTAAGGCGGCTGGTGGTGGATCCGCTAACAAAATCCTCCGGTGTGAAGTGGCGGCTACATACGAAAGTGCTCCCCGTCTTTATGCAAAAGTCCGGACCATCATCTCTTCGGATCGCCTGGATCCACTGCCTCCGTTGGTCTGGAACGCATGATATGAGAGATAAAGCTGTTTTGTTGCCCCATATGAACAACCAGGGACTGAAGAAAAACAACTGCGCCGAGACTGAGCCATTTTCCTAGCCTTTTAATGCTAACGCTATAGCCACCGGAAGTTGTCCAACCCCACATCCGCTTTAAAACCCGGAAGTGTGAAAAAGGTCTATTCCCAACAGCACAGCTCAGTAGGACTGAAGCGTCGACTTTGAATAGGACACCTCCAAAACTATAATTAGCTAAAGAAAAAAAATAGGGAATCCTGAATCAAAAATATATCTTAAAATATGTTGAATAATCCAACAGTAGAACTAGTACTATAATTATAATTATTAAGGAATTATTGACTTTAACCAAGCTCCTACATCTTGTTGAAAAGTTACTTGTAACTCAGCTTTGTCTCATTTCAAGTGTATTTGTACTAAAAACTCGATCAAAACGTTAAGATTTTGTGTTTTTGCAGCGCTGAGGTCAATTCTGTAACAAGTTAATGCTATAGGGAATTTAATTAAAGACAGGAAAAAAATCGATTTCAAATGTTTTTATTAAAGTTGCATAAAAGAGTAACAAAATTGGGCAAAAAACGAAACCTGTTGTTGATATTGCTACATTTGTTTGTTCTAATCATTGTCAAAAAAATCAAAGCAAAAACACTTCCACCATTACTCTGTCCTGCATGGTTTAGCTCTTATGTTTAGCATCAATGATAATCACTTGACATTTTTTTGTACTTTTTTCCTCTTTTTTGCAATTTTCCCCAACAGTAAAAAAACAAACAAAAAACAAACAGACATATCAATAACAGTCTAAGAAGATATATATAATATATAATCCAAAACCTGAATTTAGAAACAAAAATCCACTCAGCTACTGATTGAAGTTGCCTAAAACAATCCGACCAATCAGAGAAACCGCCGGGAGCTCAGTTCGGAGACGCCACAGGTGAAGGCAAAAGCAATCGCACCAGAAAAATGCATCTGAATGGATTCTTTTTGTTAGACTAAATGTTGTTTCAAGGCTTGGCATCAAGAGGTGCGATGATCGAGATAAAAACAGACCAGACTTAAACAGGTCCGTGTGAAAAGCATTGCTTACCTAAACAGAGTCGCTTTATAAAGGCCTAAGTATTAAACACTCACTTCTAACAAGAAAAAGAAAACATTTCAATACAAGAAGCGATAGATCAGAGAGTCTCCACATGAAGCAGAGTGTCTTACAAAAGAGTTGAACTTTCCATTTATTCGTGTTACAACCACAAACCTCAGAGTTTAAATGGGATTTAATTTGATAAATTCAAAGCAGTGGATAATTGCAAAGTGGTATTAAAAATGAGTCGGATATCTACAAATAAAATCTCACAAGTGTGGAAGGCATCTGTAGTCAGTCCAAAATAAAATCCCATTCATCTGACAGAGCTCTGACCACTGAAAAAGGAGACTTACAAAAACACTTAAAATTCACACAGCAGATGTTCGAATCTGACTTTTTATTTTACCAAAATCAGATTTTAATTTTGCTTTAATGACGTCAATGACGTAAAAGTTGGATAAAATCCGATATCACAGTTCAGGCTGCGAATGCTTTGAAAACTGTTAGATACAGTTAATGTGGCGTTAAATTACCAGGGGACTCTCAGCTGGGTTTGACGTCAAAACAAAAAAAAACAGCCAGAATTTCAACATGGCGGCGCCCAGACATCATTTTAAGCTTTGCATTCAAAAAGCAAACTCCACTTCTGATTTGTTCAGTTTAAAGCTACAGCGATTTTAAGACACAATCTTAGATATGCATCTTGTTAAATCATCATGTCTCCAACACAGATTTCTACTGTTGATGCGAGAGGCGGCCATATTGCAACAGGAAGTACGCTGTGCAAGTCTTAACTGGGGGTAGTGAAGTTGCTCCCAGTTTCCCAGAGGAAAATCTGATTTCAGAGGGAGTTCTGACTGGGAAAACTGGACTTTTCCAGTTCAGAGTACAACTGAAACGCAGCATTAGTACCACTCATGGAAGAGGCACAAATCAGATTTATTCGCGGTGCAAAGATCACAATGAGAACGTCGCACATCTCCTAAAATGCAATAGAAGCAAATTAATCAAAAAAGCAGGCATTGTAGCTCTGTAGGAGCTGCAGAAGTCCACAGCTCAGGTGGTAGAATATGTTGACTGGAAAACTATAAAACCTATTGGTGCACCATATTAGGATGGTGCACCAAGAAACCACCAGAAGTCCAAATAGCATCAACCCATATGGCGGAGACAGGAAACACGTGGATGAAGACATCTAAACTTTAAAAGTAGTTCTACAAAGCAGATTTTCTTACAGTTCATAATTATGCAACACTTTGTCAATCTATTAAATAAAATCCCAAAAAACTACAGTGAAGTTTCTGGTTGTAAAAGTCATAAAATGTGAATTATTTCAACCCATTTCTGCAAGGCAGAGTAGATCTGCTCAGCAACAACAAAAAAAGTACTCCTGTTTTTCTTTTTTTTTTTGGTTTGTGTAACATAAATTATACCTAAGGCAACATCTGTTTTTGTTTTTTGTTTTTTTAAAATCTTTTTAAAGAAAGAAAATGGAGTAAATGAAGGGAAGAGGATGAGAAATGGACAAATGGTAGGAAGGAGTGAAATGAAAGAGCAGCAGTCTGAAAATGGGCCGTAGTGGAGAGAAAGGCAGACGGTAAAATGCCGGTAAATGTCTGCGCAGACGAACTGCAACATGTTGATGCTGCCGTTGGCCGGCGGGTGTCGGTCTCTGATCTGATTGGTCGGCGATCAGACACAGATGGCTTATTCTTTGAGATGATTGGCAGGTGCCAAGAGAAACAAACAAAAACAACAACAAAAAAAATGGCTAAAAGATGAGAGAAGTGACTGCTCTGTTCAGAACAACGTGACAATGTTAGGGTGCTGTGGTTTTAAAAAAAGGCAGCTTTTTACAGGGCTCCCTCTTTACGACTGTCAGGGTGTGTATGACAACGAGAAATAAAAAAGGAACCAGTCCTTTACCAAAAAAACCCCAGACAAGTCTGTCCTACGTAACAGCAGAATATACAGGCCCAAAACACTCCATACTATGACAGATGTTGCTGTACATTATGTTGCAACATACACTAATAGCAACACGGATGTACATGTGTGTGTGCAGGCTGGATTGAGGAACCAAAATTCACATTCAGCCTATAAAAATAAACAAAAAGAAGAAGAACAAAAACCCACTTCTAGTCTAGCTTCAAATAAAAACAAAAACATTTATTTGAAGGTCTAAAACCGGCCTTGCAGCCAATCGGCTGACCAGTGAGTCTTTCTAAAGGTTCAATCACTATTTCCAGGCATCAAAGTTTCCTCTTCGCTGTACTAAAGATAGATTAACACGACGCTTTGTGGTCAGAGGTTCAGATTTTCTTCTCCCAAAAATGACACAGTGCTGGGTTTATTTAAAAGGGCATATATCATCATATAATAGAGCCAGAAAACCCTATGAAACATAAACACTACATCCAAGTCTTTTCTAAGACTCTTTTGAATCACGCCTACTGAAACAGGAAGGCACTACCATATATGGATAACCACGTAAAGTCTGAAAATGTCTGGTGGTAATCACAGGACTACATTTTTAAGGATTATGTGGAGACAGATAGCATGAATGAGAGATTTTCAAAAGTGCTGCCCTAAAAAACGAGAAGGACCTCATTGCTGGCACCGTAAAAGATACATTCTCCTATAAACCATCCTTTTTCATTTTCTTAAGGATGTCTTGAGGTCATTTAATTACGTCTACATCCTTAAGGAAATTAAAAAGTATGTGTTTTATTCGAGAATTTATCTTTGACGGTGCCAGGAATGCCGGAATTAATACTAATGAATTAATATTAATGCTGAGAGTGGAAATCCTTCTTAAACATGAAGATATATCACAGATTTCAAAAGAAAATAAAACCGGGAGACCATAGATAATATAGGAAATAGCGCCCCCTTCACGTACTGAGAGCAATGGTCCTGCTTCCAAATAAGGTAAGAGACTGACAGTCCTGCCCCTTTCTGTTTGCTGCAGGGAGGTGTTCTTGTAAAGAAGAACCAGAGCCAAAGCGATGAGGAGATGAGACGAAAAGCAGGGAGTCAACAGCCAGACCGAGGTGGTGGTTGTTTGTGAGCTTAAAGTTTTAGAAAATGCTGTTTTTTTCATTAATTAGCATGATTTTGTTTTATTGTTTATAAGTCAAATGAAGGAGAACAGATGGAGTATCTTTGTCAACAATCGAGATACCAATAAACGATCTGATGTGTAATGATGGCAAAATGTGATGTTTCGATTTTTCACTGAGCTCTATGGTGTAAAGCACTTTGAAATGCCTTGTTGTTGAAATGTGTACAAATAACATTTGATGTGATTTTTTTATTTTATCTCAACTTGCCTTCTAGCCACAACTAGCGTAGCATAAGATTTTTTTTTTCTTTTCTGGCAAACATCTTTACTTTTAAAGATGTTGGTCAGAACTGGAGCAATAATTGTACTGGTTCAGATTTTTATCCCAAGTTCTCCACTGTAGTTGATTACAGGAAGACTTGCTCACCGAGCTTTTAAATCCCTCTGAAGTCTGCCGGTTTGTTAGATCTCCAATGTCTTGGACGTTTCATTTTTCATGCTGGAAAGAGAAACATATAAATTCTCACTTTATGATCCCAAATTTTACACTCTTCAGCAACTTTCAGCTGCGTTACATTTCCTCTTCCTGTAACTTTATATTTTATTTTACTTTTTTTTTACATATTTCTCAATTTTAGTAATGAAATGAATCCAACTATTCTGGACCCAGATGTAGTTGCTAAAATGATTATACATGCCCTTTAAGAGACACCAAAAAAGTCTTTTTGCAGCACTGCCTGTGCTTAGGTGGCAAAAACAGAACCCCAAAAAACATTATTAAAAAAGATTAAGTGAAGTGACGATCTCCTTCAAACAGAACCAGGAAAGGGAAAAAATCTCAAACAAGTTAAAATATTCACATAATCTCGCTGGTGGAGGCTGAAGTGTTTCATCCTCAGTTTTCACTCCGTTTTGTATTTTACATGTTCTTCCCCGCTTTTACAGTAATTATGGGACTCTGTTCCTCCTCATTCAGATGGGAAGGTGGGAGGAAGAGGAGGAATATTAGGAGAAGAGTACAGTAACGGCAGGAGAGGAAACAACAGGGGAGAGGAGACACAAGCCGCAAGGCGAATCATTCATTTCTGCTGATGAAAGAAGTCCAGATCCATCACGGTACACGCAAAAAACGAAGCGACTCAGACAACTATGAGCAGAAACAATTACAACATTTCAACAGAGGAAGAAGACCTTAAATTAAAAACGTGGGGCGTGGAGGGAAGACGAGACGGAGGGATGGAGAGGAAGGGAAAACGTGGGGAAGGTTTGGACGGCATCATTTCTTCTGAGGCGTAGAGAGCTTCTGCATTCCTCTGATCTTGTCAAGCAGCTCTGAGATGAAATCCTGCAGAACGACAAGGAGAACAGGAGTCACAAGGCGTGAACTTAAACAGGAAATGGAGAGAAAACACAGGAGAGAATCAAACTGCTTTACCTCAGTGGGTTTAAAACAGTCAACCAGTAAGTCCTGTAACACAGAGAAATGTCACACGAGTGGAAAGTTTGTTCTGTTTGTTTCTGGGCGTGTAAACCCACAGGGTTTCCTCACCTTGACCCTGGCTGCTCGCTCAACGTCACTGGGCATGTCCAGCAGCTCATCCACGTCGATCTCCAGCTCTGGGATGGCTTCCTCCTGCAGCAACCAAAACAATATGGAGACTGCAATGAGCAACAAACTGGCTGAGTTCTGCCAGTGATGCTCACTTTAAACACTAGAGGGCAGCAAACATCCACTGAGGGACGAAAGAGACAAAGAGATCCTTGCGGCCACCATGCTGTCTGAATGTTTAGAAAAGGAAAACCACCAGTTTGACAAAAGATAATTATTACTTTTGTGTATTTCCGACGCTGGCAGGAAGTGACTGCACCAGACTTTCAAAATACACAATTTTTAAAACCAGAAAACTCTACATTTTAAAAACGAATCATATACATTTTTAATTATCTACAGCCAGGCTTCAAATGTAAAAAAATGAAAACATAATGTGACCAAACAAGGAGCAAAATCAGGCCAAATTTAGCTGGACAATAAATTTCCTTAGAAATATTTGCAATAACTATAACATTGTCCGTTTGATACTATTTTCAACTAATAAAATGATTGTATTAGTGGCATATGAAAGCGAGTTCAATCTCTTCAATATAAAAAAACTTTTAAACTGGAACTGGAAAACATTTCAAATATCCAAAATAAACAAACAAACTAAAACGAAACAACAATTAAAACAAATTTTGAAGTCTCTGTGAGAAAAATTGTTTTTTAAAAAATAATAATCATTCAGCTTAGACAGGGAAAACAGGAAAAAGAGGAAGGTTGTGCAAATCTCTTTAACAACTCATTTTAATTTATCATGTAATTGATATATTTATTGTTTATTGTGAAAGTGTTTCGGTGGAACTCGATTGAACCTTTTAATTCGGTTAATTTTGAGATCTGTAAATTATCAAAATTATTCACGTTTGAATCAAAAACAATTTACTGACAAAACAAGCAACATTTTCAATTTGAAAAACCTTTTCGCTGCTAAATTACTGAATAAATAGACATATAAACTCAATATCAAAGATATTTATTGCTTTCTATTCATTTTATTTTTCAACCATCAGATTAAAGTGCTGTTTCACCCATTTAACTTACAAATTTATCACCTGTTTTTCAAATAGTGTTTGAATTCAGGTAATTTTTGGCTGCGTTCACACCAGGCCTGTTGTTTAGTTCACTTTTTAGTTGAACTGTTTGTTTGCATAGAAAGTTCGGTTCTTTTAGGTAGGTAAACTAAATAAAGGCAAACTAAATAAATCTATCTCTGGTCTCGGTTTGGTTCAAGTGAACTCTGGTGCGGTTTGAGACCGCTCCAAAAGCAGGAAGAGGACTACAACGCAGGGGATTGTGGGTAAATACAACCTAAACAAACACACATAAAGAGAGAAATGGCTTGTGCTCCTTTGCTAAAAACAAAAGAGCAATCCTACAACCACTAAAATTCATTTTTGTTTACATTTCATAGGACATTGCGCTCAGGGTCTTCTTCAGAAGTTTTTGTCGTTGGTGCAGCGCCCCCACAGGTGAGGAGAGGAACAGGTTTTTCAACACAGTACGGTGTGAAAGCGAACCGCAGCAACTGAAAACTAACAAATGTTGCAACTTTGGCTCCCAATCAAACCGTGTGAAGACGGATAAACTGCCTTCCATGAAGTCAGAGAAAATGTAAATAAATCAAAAAATGGCGGCAGCAGTGAGTCCACCTTTTGTGTGCTTCCATTATCATAATCCCATTTCTCCATCTTTCAAAGACATACCGGCTCAGTGTGCTTTCTGTCAAAGCGGTACAACACAACCCCCCCAGAAAACCTAGCAGACACATTCATACCAGCCCTCATTTCCTGCTCTTTTCAGCTGAATTGCTACCCTACACTCATGATGTTCTCCAGGAATCTCGCCGTCGCTCCGGTCCTCCCCCTCGGTTAGAGTTGCCCACACCAGCTGTCTCTGCACCTGCCCGACTGAACCCCCGGCTATCTCACCACACAAACACGGCATCCAGAAGCAGCCGACAGGGAGGCGCAGCATGCCGAGTGTGCACATTGGAGTGTCAGATTAACCCGCCACTCTAGATTTTGTCTTTTTTTGCAGTGAAAACTCGCACATTTCTTCCTCTTTTCCAATGTGAGGCTTAAGGAATTACAAAATGAGCTAAATAAGTCTGAGCTGGAGAGTGTGTGTGTTTAATCCTGCACAAGACAGCCTGGGTGTGCGAGATAGAGACTGAAAGTGACAGACGGACCTCGTGTCAGCAGAGCGCTGCATGCAGACTTAATGTAAGCATCAAAGTGGGCATTAACACCAGAGAAATATACATTGATGCACAAACTAGGGCCGTGTGATGAATCTGTTTTGTCGAATTTTTGGTTTTGGACAATAAAATAATGATAATTTGATCATTTTTATATTAAAAAATGTGGTGAAAATTTTGGACTATTCGCCAATGTTTTCGTTATGTTTCCAAAATTCACAGTGATGTTATCGCAAGGAGGGCGGCCATCTTGTTTTTACAGCTTCCATTTATTTGAACTTTGAATTCAGGTTATATCTATGACTAAATGTAAGAGTCTGGCGAAGACTTCTTTTTTATTTTTCCCAAAAATAAAGTCATACTGTTACAAAAATACAGCTGTAGTAATCTGAGAATAAAGTCATGTGACAATAAAGCTGAAATAATATAAGAATAAAGTCTTTATATTACCAGAATACAGTTGTAATATTAGGAGACTGAGGTAATAATTTTGTGAAAATCTCAAAAGAAAAATTATTTAATTTATTATGCGAGCTTTTTCTCATAAAATTTTTTTTGTCTCACAATTCTGAGACGTTTTTCTCATTAAAATGACTTTTTCTCGTAATTTGGTAAAATTGTTTTTATTCCGCTGGTATTATGTCTTTATTCTCGTAATTAAACAAAAATTATTGTAGCCTGGCTCTGGTACACAATCATGCAACTCGAAGAAGGAATGAGTAAAATATAAAAGACACGTTTTAGAGAATATTTTCTGTCATCTAATTTCTAATTTTTATTTTTTAAAAAGTGAGAAAAAAATTGGAGATTTAATTTTTAAGTCATATTGCTCAGCCTTGGCGCTAAACTAGGCTTTTCACCAAAACAAACTTTACTGGATGATAAATTGCCCCAGAAGTTGCTGCGATAAATGATACTATTGTTTTGACACCATTTTAATTGATATTCTCAAAGATCAATAAACTTTAAATTTAACACTAAAACTAGAAAACATTGTAAATAAACAAAACAGGAGAAAGAAACAATAAAATGAATTATAAAGTCTTCAAAAAAGAGTCTAGTTGAGACCAAAGGACCAGACTGAAGACTTGAATCATCCAGTTTTTGGTAGAAAGAGAAAAACGCTAAATCATGCCAATGGAAATTATTGAGCTTGTTTTTAGTTTACCATGCGATTAATTGATTTATTGTTGCTTTATCCTGTTTCTAGCCCTGAGCTAGCTGAAGTTTGACACAAAGAAGGATCTGCCCAACACGAGGTCTCCATGCACGTCGAAAAGCAAACTGAGCAGAAACAAGGATGCCAACAATCCAGCAGACACGCTATAAGAATCCACCTTAAACCACAAGTTTAAAGTTCTGGCCAGTTAAAAGATTAAACATGACGCAGCCTCGTAGACGGTGATTTAACAGGCGGTGTTAATCTGTGGAGCGGAGGGGGAAGGGAACGCCGAGAGGAAGGAAGGTAAAAGGTTAAGGAGCGCAGAGCTGAGTGGAGCGCTGCGAGGAGGCGAGAGAGAGGGACGCGCTGTGGAGGGGGGAGGCCGGAAGACAGGCTTCAGAGAGGAGACACAAAGAAAGCTGGGAATCACGAGGGAGGATTTCCAAAACAATCCTCTAGACTGACTGACTGCGAGCCTGAACTGCTGTCTGCAGACAATAAAAAAACTGTTAGGCCGGGACGTGGATCAATTCAGAGAATAAGGATGAAGAGGTCGGCTTTATCCTGAAATACCTGCAGAAAATCTCATAAAATGAGCTTTCTCTCAACCTTTGATGCCGACCACAGAAGAGGAGAAAGACTTCACAAAAGTTTATTTCATCCAACCAAGGAAAGTGGGGAAATTTAGATTTTTTTCTTCAGTAATAAACAACTTGGGCTGAAACGATTAATCAGATTAATAGCGATGAATCGATTATTGAAATAATCAACTAATTAATCATTAACTAGACTCAAAAACATGGAAAGCCACTGAAAGAACACGCTCAGAGCAGTAATTAAACCAAAACTGTTAAAAAATATAAAATTTTTGCATTTAAGATAAAAAAAACCCACCATTGTCTATGAATCTGTTTCCCCCAAAAGCAGATTATGTAAAAAAATTAATCTAACAAGCAACTTTTACTGACCAATTATTTATCATTTTATCCAAAACATAGTCAACATTTTAGTCCTACACAAGCAGAAACATGTGGAAAAACTCAATTTTTCACATTTCTGCTTGTAATGATATTTGATTATTTCCTACAAATGATCAAGTGTAAACTAAAGGAACACTGCCGCTGCACTTTATGCAATAAAATGTTTATTTTCTTATTTTAAAAAAGGATATTTATCATTTGTATCTTTTAATGTCGTCTTAATATTTAATGAAAAATTTAGTTTCTTCTGATTATAGCCATTTCTATAATGAATCAAATTTTTTCCCTAATTTGTTGAATGTATTTGTTGGGATAAAAACTGGCTGCTGCCACAAAAGGTTTTCCTGTCCTTTAAAATGTATTTTTAAATGATGCACAGATTCTCTCTTTTTAAACTAATTTATATAGATTCTGTGGTGAAAATGAGGAAACATCACTGGGTGCATTCCAGATTTATTCATCCCAAAGGGAAATTCAGTGACGATTCAAATTCTTCACATCTTGGCAAAGCTTTCAAACCCAGTTTTCATCTCAAAGTTGTTGTTTGGACTTTAAGCATAAATATATAAACTAAGAAATCCCATTTTCTTTAATAGCAGAGCAGCCATGTCTTATGTGTCGCCACCTGAGTTAGTAGAAAGTTTAATTGTGATTTCTAATTTCCTCGTAGTGACAGCATCAGTGCGCTGTGTTACCT